GTGTTTAGTTCAAACCATTTTTAAATGTTGAAGTGAACTACTCATTTTAAATCAACTGTGAAACAGTATTAGTGATTTTTAATCCTCATTCAAAGTAGAAATCAAATTGGAATGTGTTACGGAGTAATTCATGCATTTTCTGATCTTCTGTCTGAAATGAGCAAGTTGTGATGTCGGTCAAAGGTCGAAGACAAGTTGTTGGAACAAACTGTCATGTTTTTATATCCTCTCAGACGTAAACAGAGAAGTTGGCACCTGTTTTCCCCCAACTCGTCCAAACATTTCTCTCGTCTGTCTCTAAAACATTTTCAATCTGTTCCAAAACATTCTTGCTGTTTTTCTGACTTCTAGTGACCTCTTACGTCACAAAAACACACCCCTGTCTAGTCCATTGACCAATCAGGGACCTCCCAAATGAACCGGAAATAGAACTCTTTAAATGTCGGCACTTCCTAGTTCAAACCAGCTCCAGTCGAGTTGCGGTCGAGTGCAGTCGAGTTCAGTTCGGAGAGCAAGCCGAGCTGAGAAGTGCTGGAGAGAACAGGAGTTCAGACATGATCCGGAGCTCTTCCGAGTCTTGTGGGAATTATGCAATCTTCCACATCTGAGTGGAACTTCTGAAGGACTCCACTCATGTGAGTCCACTCGTGAGGTGAACTGTTGTTGATGAAGTCCCGCCACCACTCCGGACGGTTCTCTGCCATCCTACGGAGACGTTGGACCGGTAGCGTTAACTGGAACTCCGTATCCGCTGATTCATCGTCAGAGAGGTAATGAGTCGAGTTTACTACCGAGCGTACCGAGGAAAGCTGGGTTTGAATGGAGGGTGCCGTTCTGTTCAACACTTTACCTCACACACCATCTCCCTCCCTCTAAACTTCATCTTTCCATCTTTAAACTCTTCTATCTGCTAGAAATCATTCCAGATATTTTCAGAAATGTCTGTTGTGAAGCAACGGAAAACCATCGCCGTATGGTTTTCTAATTGTACAGCTTGCTAACTAAGCCATGTTGTTATTTTTAATTTTGCCAAATTAATGTAAATGTTTGATGTTAAACTTTAATTCTGTAAATAAATGACCACATTCATTTGATGGGTCAAAGAAAATTAACGTCTCACATTACATTTAATTAAATTCAATGCACAATATTATTCAGTCCAGAAAAATGAATGAATCCGTTTAATTTATGAATATATCACAGAATATGTTCATCTACACTTGCTGGACAACGCCATCTTGTAATTTTCCTCTTATCGCCGACCCTCTGAGCGAATCGGATGGCTCCTCTGGGACAGGCGCGCTCAGCTGCAGCCCCCGCTGCTCATTCCCTCCTGGAGAGCGTAGTGTCGGTGGAGAGGGGCTGAGTGAATGCTCACCCCATCCCACCTCGTTTCGCATCGGCGATCACACCGCTCCCGGCCGACGGCGCCCTCAGGGGTTGCCCGGCGTAACCCAGGAGGCGGCTGACATGAAGGGACCCCTTTTTTTCTACGTCCCACGCCTTTCCCGCCAGTTCGGATGATCCGGTGGGAAGGTTGTTTACCGGGTTCCATTCCGGCTCACTGTCTTGATCCATATGGCCTCGTGTTCCAACAGGACGTCCTACGGGCGAGGCCACAGACGTTTCTTTCCTGGTAGATTGGGGGAGCCGGTCTCCAGTCCGCACCCATCACCAGAGTGGAGGGGTTCACCGAGCGGGGCTATCCCTCGGTAACCCCCCTTGAGCCAAGCCTCGCGGCAGCTTTCGGAGCGAAGCTGTCCAGGTTGGAGCAGCGTCCCGTCCCTCCTGGGAAACACGACCAGACGGTGACCAAGCTCTCCAATCGAGCCCATCAATGTGCTTTTCAGGCAGCTGCAGCTAACAGCAACGTGGCACTGCTAGCATATAGCATGTCCAAGAGGCTGGAGGCCGCAGACCTGCCTTAGGAGACCAAGAGCTCCCTCTGTAAGGCAGTCGACTCTTCTACGGTTTGCCTGTCCAGGATTGCAGCATGGATGACGATGATTCAACAATCCAAATAGCTCCGTCGCTCCCCCTAGCTGCCGGAGAAACTGCACAAAGAACTGATGGAGGGCCCCATCACGGCGGACGCGCTGTTCGGGAGCAGCTTCAAACCATGCTGACAAACTCGAAGCAGTCGGAGGAGGTGCCAGAGGCTGTGCGCCACCTCATCAAGCCGCGCGGCTCATCCCGCCCCCCGGCCCGCTGGAGAGACCGTCGTGAGCAGAGGCAGAACAACGACGTTCCACGGCCACGGCGTCTCGCTCAGCTCCACCACCAGCCCCGCCCGTCAGAGACCAGCCTTCTTCATCCTGGCAACCAGCAGCTCAGCGTTTCCCCAGAGATCGCCTGCAGACAGCGCTCTGGGCAAACAAATCGCAGAGCTCACGGGGGAGAAGATTTTAAAAAATGACGGTCTGCGGAGGGTGTGTGTAAAAGTGACACGAAAGTTGAAATAAATCATCATTCAATGATCAAAGTGTCTGTTTTTAGCCAGTCTGTAAGCTCGGATGAACTCACAGTGGCTGCGCACACATCCTCCACACATAACGAGCCGGTGTCCTTAAATAAAGGTTTTTTAAACTCACCGTCGCTCCAAGACAAGACGAGTCGCTCACACGACACGATGGTAAGCGAAATAACTCGTTGTCAATCCGAGCTGCACGATCCTCACCTAAGCGGTGTCAAACGCACACTCGTGCGATGCAAACAGCCTCCATCCAAACGGCGCTGCGTTGATGATGGTGCACACACAACTGCCCGGCGCTCACCGGCTCACATCGGTATAAATGTGGGACCGCAGGCCGGGTCCGGTGGAGGTCCTCGCTCTCAGCAAGAGCAACACACGCCTCACCGAAGCAAACGCGGGCAGCCGTCACCCACCGCGTCTCGGCGCTCGGCAGCTCGCGGCAGCATAAGCGTGAGACAGCTGAACGAACCCGGTGACGAGTCTCGCCTCCAGCGAGAGCGGCGCGCGTCCCTCCAGCGAGTGGCGCGCGTCCCTCCAGAGAAAACGTGTGCTCCTGCGGGGCTCGCAGCCTTCACTCCAACAGCACAACGTAGATTAAGTCACGCTCTCCGCCTCTCAACGTTCGCACAGCGACGTCGAACGCGCAGCCCCACGGCGTCATCAGCTGTCACATGCTTCGCCTCAGCACACACCGGCCCACCTGTACATGAAGGTTGGTTTGCGGTCCGAACGCAGCGCACGGGCGCGTTCAGAGCCTTTTCGAGGAAGCCTCGCCTTGGGTCACACGGAAAACATTCCCGCGACACATGACGGCGGTTGAGGGGCGGACTGGTGACAGCCGTACAAAACATGACGCATCACTTAAATGCACGTTCACTCCACGAACGTTGCGTAGAGTGGCTAAAACATGCTCGCCGGTCAGATGGATGGACAGAGTGTTATGCAAATGGTTACAAGTTACAGCTTGCAACCCGACCCCCTCCGTTCGGAGGAGTTATAGAGACGGTCCTGTCCTCACCAGACCAAATCTATCGTGTTCGAATGGACCCAGTGAGGTGAGGACCACATCTGCTTCGCCCTTAACCCACTAAGCGACAGCCTTAAAGGGCGAAGCTTATACGAAATAGAACGTTGGTTACGTACTGTAACCCCAGATTCTATGAGTATAAGCGTAGCCCTTTAAGCGTCGGGCCTCACTGGCTCCTAAATGGCTGAAGAAAAAGCTATTTTTTGGGAGCTGATTTCCCGCTCTTAACGTAATTTATACGAACCGGGTAGGGCCCACACAGCAGGTGGCCGTGGACTAAATTTTTCAGTGCAAATGCTACGCATAATGGGATAAACCCACCAAGCGACAGCCTTAAAGGGCGAAGCTTATACTCATAGAATCTGGGGTTACAGTACGTAACCAACGTTTTCTTCCCATCACTGCAACAGTGTGTTCAGCCTGCTGAAACCACTCGAATCTGCTGTCCATAATAACTCCCAGAAGTCTAATTTCTTCTACCTGAGTAATGGCTGTTCCACTTATAGACAGGTTTAGTTTTGGTTGAGTTTTTAATTTCCAATTTGATCAAAATATTATGCTTTTTGTTTTAGATATGTTTAAAACCAATTTATTTGTATGCACCCAATTTACAACTTGCTTAAATTCACTGGTCATGGTGCTAGACAGCGTCTCAGCAGATGAACCTGACATATTTATTTATTTATATGATTTAGGTGGACTCCAAAATGAAACGAGTTGTAGATGTTCACACAAAACCTTCAGTTCATAATCTGTCCTGTGTCAGATATTTTGCCAACGCTAAAAACACATACAGAAACACTGGCACAAAACATCACAGCCTTTGGTGGCGGGCCACAATATTTAAATAAACTGCATTACAAGGCGCTTAATACAAAAATATGCATATTTTAAGCTACAAAGCCAAATGCTTTCAAAAGATTAGCTCTCACCTGCAACATCCTCGGTGCTCTTTTCACACAGACACTCCCATTTCTCAGCAGTTTGGAGTAAAGCCTGCATTAAAATAATACACTTCTGCTTCAAATTAAAAATGATAAAGTCCTGATAATCCAAACCAACATGCTGCTCTGAGCTTCTGCTGCCTCAACGTCTGGCTGTTGCATCGAGTTGTTCAGTTCAAAAGATGAGGCAGAAGGAAACTTCTAAAATGATCTCAGCACGCCCAAGAGCAACTGTATCTGAATCCTGTAGAATCACACCTAGCGTACGTTAGTCCTTATTGCCAGCAAGCAGTTTCACTTTGTCCAGCTGTGACGCAGCTGCCACGTGGTCAGTTTTCTTCCTGCTCAGGTGAACAGGTGAAGGTATGCAGGCGACGCCCAGGTTTTCATATGAACACATCTTTCTTCCAGCTACAGGCAGAACTGGAAACGCTGCTTATTATGTTCTACAGAGCACTTTAAAAAGACAATTCAGATACAAACTGTAAAAAAAGTTTTATTTCAAATGCATCAATATAAGATCATGTTACTGAATTTTACAGACGTTTCTCAAACAGTATTTTTAAAAATTTGATTTCCTGTGCAGTTTAGACTTTTTTTTAAACTCATCCAACATAATGTCTGAAAAGTGAAGTGAACACGATCTGAATCAAATGCAGCTCATCAAAAACCTTAACTGGTCACCGGTTTGTCCTACAGACCAGCAGATCCTCATGGGCCCAGCTTTCCAGTCAGAGCATCAATTAGTTCCTGCTTCTTTGTTCCGGTGGTCCGAATCCCAAACTGCTTACAGGCCTCCTTCAGTACAGGCACCGTCAGCTTTCCCAAGGTGCCGTTCTGCAGGTGGGTTCTTAGTTCAGCTTCTGTCACCTCCACTTTGGCTTTTTTCTCAGCTCCACTTCCAGCATCAGCTGCATGGACAAACAAACCATGGGTTAGTAATAAAACATGCTACTCACTCACCACTTGATGTTTTCTTATTTTTGTTGCCTTACAATCTGGAACTTCAAACTGATTTTAAGTTTGATTATAAATTAACAGAAACACACACAAAAAACAACACTTTGATAAATGCAGCTAGAAAACTTTAAATTAAGTCTAAAAACTACAAAAGTGAAAAACGCTGCTTGAATTTGTATTCAACCCACAAAACTGAGACCTTTGTGTCTGCACCTTCTGCAGCAGCTCCAGCAAGAGGTGTCTTCAGGTCCGTCTCCATGATCCTGGTCCATTAACCTGGACGTTCTGCCCGTTCTTCATGTACAACCCCCTGAAGCTCCTTCAGGCTGATGCTCGTGTCCAGAGGTTCTCAGATGGACTGAGGTCTGGGATTTGACCTGACCATTCGAGGACCTTTAACTGGTTCTGCATAAATCAGTGGTGTTGCTTCAGCAGTGTGTTCAGTCATTGTTCTACTGGATGATGTTTAAGTTTCAAATCTCTAACAGGTTCCTCTCAAGGATTTCTCCTGAATCTCTTTTTGCTTCATCCATCTTTCCTTTAACTCTGACCAGTTTCTCAGTCCCAGCTGATGAACAGAACCAACAGAACCCACAACATGACTCCACCACCACTGTGTAGGGATGATGTTTTCAGCACTAGGAAAGATTTTGTCTCAGACATGGTGTTGTCCTTGAAGTTTGGACTCATCTGTCCATCTTCAACATGTTTGGTGAAGAAATAAACAATTCAGTTTTTTCCCTTTAATCATATTTTCATCCTGCCATTCTTCCATGAAGCCCAGTTCTATGCAGCCTCTACTGGTCCTGTGGACACATCCTTCCATCTTCATCAGTGTCATTTTTAACTTCCTGGATGTTTCTCTGATTAATGTCCTTCTTACCTGCTCCATGAGTTTTGGTGAGTGATGCTCCCTGGGCAGGTCTGCAGAGACAACATCTTTTCATTTTCTAATCACTTATTTAATGGAGCTCTGTGGGATCTTCAGGGTTCTGTGATGATTTTATAGCCTAATCCTGATTTGTACGTCTCCCTCCATAACTTTGTCTGACCTGTGTGAAAACTTCCTTTGTCTTCATGATGTCTCTTGCCTGGTGGTATACCTTATAGTCTTAGAGGTTTTGAAGTGATATTTATTTTAGAGATTGCCAGTTATGTACAAGTGGTACACCAATGTTCCCTGTCGCTGAGGGATTTAAATATTGAATGTTGGTAGATTTTGAGGAGTGCTTTTATGGACAGGAACTGAACAGGATGTCGATCAAGTAGACCTTAATATTTTTGGTGCAAGATATTCAAGTGGAGCCAATACTGGAAATAACCCATCCACCTCTTACAGCTCAAGGCATTTCCAGGCCAACCGATTGACGTAGTCTCTCCAGCGAGTCTTCCCCGGGGCCTCTTCCCAGTTGGACATGCCCAAAGCACCTCCCTAGGGAGGCATCCAGGAAGCATTCTTACCAGATGTCTGAACCACCTCAACTGGCTCCTCTCGATGTGGAGCAGCAGCAGCTCCGTTCCGAGTCTCTCCTGATAACTGAACTTCTCACCCTATCTCTAAGGGAGAGTCCAGCTACCCCGCAGAGGAAACTCATTTCAACTGCCTGTATCTATGATGTCGTTCTTCTGGTCATTACCCAGAGTTCAAGACCACAGGTGAGGGTAGGACCATAGACTGACCGGTAAACAGAGAGATTTGTTTTACAGCTCAGCTCCTTCTTCACCACAACGGACTGGCACAGAGTCTGCAATACTGTAGATGCTGCACCAATCTGTCAATCTCACGCTCTATTCTTCCCTCACTCATGAACAAAACTCCCAGACACTTGAACTCCTCCACTTGAGGCAGAACCTTACCCTCGACCTGAAGAGAGCAATCCACCCTTTTCCGACTGAGGACCATGGCCTCAGATTTGGCGGTGCTGATTCTCATTCCAGCTGCTTCACACTCGGCTGTGAACTGCTCCGGTGAGAGCTGAAGATCACGGCACAATGACATCAACAGGACCATATCATCTGCAAAGAGCAGAGATGGAATCCTGAGGCCACTGAACCAGAACCCCTCCGCCCCCTGGCTGCACCGAGAAATTCTGTCCATAAAAGTTATGAATAGAATTGGTGACAATGGGCAGCCCTGGCGGAGTCCAACTCCCAACCTGAAGGGGTCCGACTTACTTCCAGCAATGAAAACCAAACTCTTGCACCGCTTGTATAAGGACTCAATGACCCCCTAGCAATGAGTCCCCCAATCCCATACTTGCGGAGCACCCCTCACAGTGAACCTTGTGGAACAGGGTCGAATGACTTCTCCCAGTCCACAAAACACATGTAGACAGGACGGGCAAACTTCCATGTCCTCTCGAGGACCCTAGTGAGGGTAAAGAGCTGATCCAGTGTTCCACGGCCAGGACAGAAACTGTATTGTTGCAGAGCGGCTGTGGCTGAGTGGTTAGAGCAGTCGTCCTCCAATGCAAGAGGTGGGGGTTCAATTCCACTCCCAGTCACATGTCGAAGTGTCCCTGGGCAAAACACTGAACCCCTCATTGCCTCCGATGTGTGTCCCATCAGTGTATGAATGTGATAAAGCACTGATTATTCTTTGTATAGAACTAGTAGTGTGCTGTATGAATGAGTAAATGAGGTACAGATTGTTGTAAAGAGCCTTGAGTGTCTTGATCAGACAGAAAGGTGAAATATAAGTACAGTCCATTTACCATTGTTCCTCCTGAGTCCGAGGATTGACAACTGAACGTCTCCAGCACCCCTAAGTTTTTTTATACGTGTCCATTACTTATAATCACATTGAAAATCAGAATAAGTTTTAGGCTGTGATGTAACAAGACCAAACTATAACAAAGGTAGATAAAGTTTTTGCATCCCACTGTAAAATTAGTTCACTAGTAACTAAAATGAATCCCTGAAAACTCAAGAGCTCACCGGCTTTGCGTTTAGGAGCAGGTTTAGTCTCTGGATTGTAATCAGCAGGGTACACCAGGTCTTTAAACTCTTGGACCAAAGGACCCAGACGGTGGTCAATCTGATCCACCTTTGGCACTGAGACAGAAAAAAACAGATAAATTAACAAACAAATGTGTGATATGAACATAGACCTTAGGATTCAGAAAAGGAAACAGGATTTGTTTGTTCTTACTGATGTGATCATCAATGTCTTCTGGAGCCATCATATCCAAAGCCAAGGCCTCCAGGTTCCTGTAATGCTGCTGGAGAACTGGGTTCTCAAAAGCATCACTCCTGCATAACATTTCACAGAACAGACACGTTTCATGAACGAATCAAACCTAATGTCTACATGTGAATATTGACATTTGACAATCGCCATGTGTTCCTTTCTGATGTACACAAAAAGTTTTGACAATAAAAATGGAACTACATTTCATCCTTTTCAATCGGATATTTGCTCAACATCCCAGTTTTCAACAGAAAGATCTTTTAGGTTCCTCTACTTGTATGTGAAGCGGAGCTTGTAGACAATCTCCTTCATCTTGTTGACCTGCTTCTGTGAGGCTGGAGGACAGTGAGGAGGATCAAGGGTCCGCATGTCGTCTGCATATGGCAGGTAGATGATATTAAAACCTGACAAAGAAACAAAAAGATCAGATCATACACCAAATTCATGTAATAAAGACAACTAAAGCAAACAGAAAGTCCCCCTGTATGAAGAGCATAAAATAAAAAACTAGTTATTCTGTGACAACGCCCAAAACCAGCTTGGATCTTTCACATACATTTATTTTACACTTGCAAAGCTTCACTTGTGTATTTTTTACTAATGTCTTACAGACATGCTGAAAAGTTTTAAGCTTTCATGTCTTATAAAAATCAGTCATCTGAGTGTTCAAGAAGATCCAACCTCAGATGAGCAACACATGACACATTAAACCTTACTGAGTTTAAAAGCTAAGTCCACCCTTACGGTTTCTGTAGGATTTTACAAAGTAAGAGCGCACCAGCTGCTCATCAGATATATTGAATAACTTTGAGTCTTTCCACTGGAGGACTTCATGCATCTGTGAGTGTTGCTCTGCACTGGGGCCAAATGGGACATAAACCAATGGATCAGGGTGTGGTAAGACTATGGCAGTCCTTTCCAGCTTACACATCTGGAAAGGCACCATCAATGCAGAAACAGTGTTTCCCTACCATTATTCAAGGAGGGCGCCCCGCCCTGTCAACAGAACCAAGCGCCCCTCCTACCAAATCCCCCCATTCCACCCCCACGCAGCTCCACCGCTTCCAGACGGTAAGTGGAGATTGTAGCAGCTCACAGACTCAAAACCGTGCGCCATGCAAATGTAGCCTGGGTGACCCCCGTGACCCGAAAAGGAAGAAGTGGGTAAAGATAATGGATAGATGGATGAATGGAAGGATGGATGGATATCTTAAGCATAGTAGAATGAGAGGCTACAGTAAAGACGGGCAGTATCAGGGACAAAACACTCCCATCACCCTCCACTTTCACCTCCCACACCCACCGACAATATAACCTCCCACCCCCACCCCCCGATGGAGACTTTTTATGCTTGTGATGCAGGTAAGACATTTTCATCAGTCAGTGTTTAAACAGCCTGTGTTCAACATTTCCACCACAAAGAACATCTACGTGTTGATGTTGGGAAATGGCCGGACATGGCGGCGACATTATGGACTTTTAACAAGGAGGACTCTGTACTGGGACGTGATCTAAACCCAGACTGAAATTTTTCAGAAATGCCACGTTCTATTTCATATAGGCTTCGCCCATAAGGCTGTCGCTTAGTGGGTTTATCCCATCATGCGAAGCATTACACTGAAAAATTTAGTCCACGCCCACCTGCTGTGTGGGCCCCACCCGTTCCGTATAAATTACGTTAAGAGCGGGTAATCGGCTCCCACTTTTCTTCAGCAAGCCAATAGCACTGTCAGAAGAACGAAGAAGGAAAGTTGTCTAGCTGACAAACCTTTGTTGAGATTGCATGTGACCGCCACGTCAACCTCCTGTCGTCCCGGTGAGTTCTCCTCCCCAAGGAGAAACAGATTAGCAGTCTTGTTTCAAGGTAAGCACCGAGGAGTATTTCTCAGTGGCAGGTCGCTACACGCTGGACGATGCCATCTTGTAATTTTCCTCTTATCGCCGACCCTCGGAGCGAATCGAATGGTTCCTCTGGGACAGGCGATGTCAGCAGCAGCCCCCCGCTGCTCATTCCCTCCTGGAGAGCGTAGTGTCGGAACGAGGGGGGCTGAGCGAATGCTCACACCCCCACGCCTTGTTTCGCATCGGCGACCACATCGCTCCCAGCTGCCGGTGCCCTCCTATGGAGTTTGCCCGGCATAATCCAGGAGGCGGCTGACATGAAGGGACTTTTGCCGTCCCCTCTCCTTCCCCACCAGTTCAGATGATCTAGCGGGAGGGTTTCTGGGCTCCTCTCCGGCTCGCCATCCTGACCCCATCTGGCCTCGTTTTCCCAGCGGTGACGTCCTATTGGGATGAGGCTGCAGCCGGTCCTGGTAGAATAGGGCGCCGGTTCCCACATCCGCGCCCATCACCAGAGTGGAGGGGTTTCACCGAGCGGAAATTCCCTCAGTGCCCCCCGGGAGCTGAGCCTTGACGGAGTTTTTTTCCGGAGCAAAGATGTCCAGGTTGGACCAGCGTCCTGCGACTCCGGACATAACCAGCATAACCAGACAATGACGTCGCTCTCCAACCGAGCTCACCAGCGTGCGTTCCAGGTGGCCGCAGCGAACAGCACGTTACGCTGTTGGCGTACAACGTTCAGAGGCGGGAGGAGACGAACGCTCCCTCTACAAGGCAGCTGACGTCATCCTCAACCGGTGCACCTCTTTGTTGTCTGCCGGTCTTGCATTGCAGCCGATGCACACTTCAAAAGAGCAGGTAAGATACAGACGTCTTGTAATCTCTGCCTGGTGAGGCTGCTTAAATAATTATAAAATATGATAAGTGAAATAAATAAAAAAAAATTGACCTTCTGTAATTTATAATTGCCAATGTCACATTTTCTTGACTTAATTTCAATTGTAAATCTCTTGTTTTTGATAAAATATTTTTTTTCCAAAAGAAAGGCCAACAAATTGTAATTTGTAATCACTGTAACCCTATTTTGACTTGTGCACTGTCATCTTTCAATTTTAGGTTACACAAGGCTCTGGACTGGTCAAGCTGTGGAGAGATGAGGTGGAACACCAGACCTGCAATGATCCAGTCTGTAAATGATGCTCTGAAGTCTGGTAAGATGCACGACATCATGCTTCACCAAAACGAGCTCGTTACCTCGACCACATAGACTGAACTTCTTGAGGATGTCGTCCAATGTATAATAACGCCTTTAAACATTTTTATTTGTTCTCTTGCTTGGTACATTATTTTTCTGTTTTTGTTTGTTTGTTTAAACAATTTACAACATGACAGTAATGTCACTGTTTAAAGGAAACAATTGCTCAATAAATTAGTAAAATGCAACTTGTTATGTTTGGGTTCTTTTATCTTTTGTAGATATGGTGTGACCCATGTACTGGTTTTGATTTTTTGTTTTTACTGTAACTGACCTTCAAAAGAGCTAGAAACAGGGACTCAGCAGTTGATCCTCCGTAGAAAAATTATATGGACTACAGGCCATGTATTACTTGTTTTATGATATTTAGTGAAGGTTTTTGTTTGGATTAAGGAAATAAATGTCTCTATTTCACCACAGATGAACTGTTACTGTTGCCATATCTTTTGAAATAAAACTGCACAAAACAAAGTAATTTAAACAGGAATGGGTAGAAGATCAAATCAAATTCAATGTATTTCCTAAAAATTAAATGAAAAACAAGAGCAGGACAGGAGTGGGAGTGATTCTCAACAGGAGCAGGACAGGAGCAGGAGTCATGTTACCACGAGTGGGACAGGACAGGATTAATTTTTTTGCTCTGGACCAGGATTGGGACAGGACAGGATTTTTTTTCTGTGGGACCAGGACACGACAGGAGTGAAAATCCCCTCCTGTGTCATCCTCTGTTCTGTACAAGAGGCAGATGTTATGTCCAGGGGCAGTCCGCGTCCCGGGGAGTGGACCCTCCACCTCGGTCTGATGGCCCAGACGTGGCAGGAATTTGGAAAGTGGCCGTGGACCTGTTTGCGACACGAGGAAACGCTCAGTGTCAACTATGGGCTTCACTGAGCCCACGAGACGAACCACTGCTGGGGGGTGGACATGTTCGCTCATAGCCCATGTCCCAAAACGATTTTACACGTTCCCCCACCTCCTCTGATATTACGGTTTCTGAACAGAGTTCAGGAGGAGGGATCGACAGCTCTCCTGGTGTCTCCCGAGCGTGTGAACGCACCATGGTTCCGGTTCTATGACGCCCATTATCGGGACGCCCGTGGAAACTGCCGTGGAGGGAGGATGCTCTCCTCCAGGCGGGAGGAGCAATAAGGAGTTACCCAGAAATAGGCCAGCACCTGTGGGTCTGGCCGCTGAGCGGATCCGCTTAGAGAGGATGGGTCTCCCGCAAGATGTAGAGGCCACCTCATGTCCACTAGGCGACGTGCTGTCTTTTCTGCAGCAGCTGATGGACGGAAATTTGGCGTTCAGCACAATGAAAACGTATGCTGCAGCCATCTCTTCCTGTCATGAAGGTTTTTGTGGAGACAGAACAGCTTTTAATCATCCGCTGATTAAGCGTTTTGTAAAAGGTGTACAGAGAAAGGTGTAGAGGCCACCTCATGTCCGCTAGGCGACGTGCTGTCTTTTCTGCAGCAGCTGATGGATAGAAATTTGGCGTTCAGCACGATTAACGTATACTGCAGCCATCTCTTCTTGTCACAAAGTTTTTGGTGACAGAACAGCCTTTTGTTGAATCTTGGATGTTCTTGTTGACTTCCTGTTAGGGGTGGAGATGTACACATGTGGGCGCAATTGTTAATAAAAGGCCACAAGTTGCTCTGATGAGCTCTGCACTCAGGCCAAAAGACAAATGAACACTGTGTTGTTTTTTCCTCTGTTACTTACCGGCATTTCCAGCCCTTTTAAAGATGGCAGCGTCAACAGGTTATGGGCGCAGGAAGGAGTTTGGAAGCCGATGGAACCGTTTATGTTTTGATGGAGATGCAAAGAACTATGAGCTGTAGGAAACTAAGTTTTTGGCCCACTTGTGTTTGCTTGAGTTGAAGAGCACTATATTATTGAAGGATGAACCCAAGGACGCGGAAGAAGATGCCACCAAAAATGAAGAGGTATATGCAGAACTAATTCAAGTCTTGGACGATAAGAGTTGTCATGAGTTGTCATGAGAGATGCTGCAGATGATGGCAGAAAAGCCTAAAAGATCCTCAGAGATCACTACGCTGGTACGAGGAAGCCACGAGTGATCAGTTTGTATACGGAGTTGACGTCTTTTCAGAAAGGTGTTAATGAGAGCTTGACGGACTATATTGTCCGTGCAGAGACTGCTATCACAGCGCTGCGGAATGCAGGGGAAGTTTTAAGTGATGGCCTACTGACTGCAATAATTTTAAAAGGCCTGCCTGAAGTGTTTAAACCATTCTCTGTTTATGTTACGCAGAGTGATGAGGAGTTAAGTTTTGCCCAATT